CCTGGGGGCAAGGCTTGCAGGGTATACCCTTTGGTTGGGTGATGATGCATGAACGGGATGGTAACTATGGCAATGAAACAACGTATGATAGAATAGATTTAAAACTAATGTTCTCCCATGTAAACTATCACACAATTCACAATAAAACATTTATTTAAAAATAAAAAAGAACTTCTGGTTTGGCACTGTAGGAGCAACACTGAACTGTACACTATACAGTCAAAGCAGTTCAAACCCACCAGCTGCTCCTTGAAAACCCTATACAGGGATGCTATGAGTCAGAACCAACTTGATGTCACTTAGCAACAATAACAGTACATTAAAAGAACCACCAATGGTGGTGCTGTGGGCCTAACCTCAAGGTTGACAGTTCAAACACAGCAGCAAATCCTCAGGAGAAAGATGAGAGTGCTCAGGTAAAGAGTTAATCTCAGAAGCCTTCCATTGGGTTGCTATGAGTCAGAATTTACCGGATGGCAATGGGTTTTGTTGTTTGGCTTTGATGCATTAAAGGAACTACAAGTAGCATAGCATGATGGGTCAGAATGGGGGAGGGCGAGTGAATGGCAAGAAATGAAACTGGAAAGATGCAAACGTGCCAGATTCTGACTGGTCTTTAAGGCAGTCTTACGGACTGGATTACCTTGCATAGGCAATGACAAATGTAAGGTGATGTGATGACTTTTAGAAAACACCTTGCACAAGTGCTAAAGAATTTTCAGTTTGAAGGCAATTGATTGTGATAAGGGAATAGCGGAGTGAGCCAAGGGAGCAGCAGCAGATAAGGAGACAGAAAAGGTTCAAGTTATTAAAGAAAAGGTACATCAGAACTAGATGAGTATCAGCTGTAGAAACAGTGTTTGAAGAACTCCCTTGTCTTTTAATATATAAGACGGTACAAGTAAATGGACACTCTTTACTGCTGTTGGAGTATGCAGTTAAACTGGCTCGACCTTTAAAAGGTGAGGTTAGGCAGTCTAGTTGACCCTTGAAAAACATAGGTTTGAAGGGCACAGGCCCACTTTTATTAGGACATTGCTGTGAGCCCAAGTGTAGAAATGCCGTCATCTTTGAGTGGGGTGAGCAGTAGCTGCTGGAGGGCAAAAATAACTGGAGAAAGGGAGTACTTGGTGGACACCATTAGCTCATCACACATGGATAGCTAAGAATCATCTGGGGATCCCTAGTGGTGCTGTAGGATGGAAAAGCACTGTACTACAAACTGCAAGGCCAACAATTCAAACCCACCAGCTGCTCCTCAAGAGAAAGATGAAACTGTCTACTCTTGTAAAGATTTACAGTCTCAGAAACTCTATGTAGGGTCACTATGAGTCAGAATCAACACAATGGCAGGTGTGTTGTGTGGGGTGTTAAAATGTAAAATTCTGACTCAATATATATGGGGTGGAAATGCAAATTCTCAGGGGTCAAACTGAAGATCCGAACAGCTCTCTTCACCTGTAGATGATTAGCATCACAGGGCACTTAGGCCGATACTCAAAACACTGGAGCTTACCACAACTGTTGTTATTGTTATGTGCCGTGGAGTCGGTTCTGACTCATAGCGACCCTGTACAGGGTTTCCGAGGCTGTAAATCTTTACGGGAACAGAAAACCTCATCTATCTCCTGCAGAACAGCTGGTAGTTTCAAACTGCTGACCCTGAGGTTAACAACCCGATTCGTAACCACTACACTACCAGAGCTCCTTAGTCCATAATTGCAGTATTAGCTAATATCATTATTCTATTAGCTCTCCATCTCAGTTTCTTCTTAGTTCACTTTGGACACTCCCATTGTACCTAGCACATGTCTTATGTTTAGCATTACATTCAATAAATTTTTTGAATTTAAATGGTTGTTCCACTTGCTCAGCATCCCTGACAACACTTATACTGGTGTCATTTTAATTTTAGCCATTCCAATAATGTATTGTTTTTTGTTGTTGTGTGCCATCAAGTAGATTCTGACTCACAATGACAGTATATGACAGAGAGCGCCTCATATGGTTTACTAGGTTTTAATCTTTTAGACCTGGTAACATGCAGACCAACCCAGAGTGGCTAGAGGAACAGAAGATACTTCTTGAAAGAAAGACCAGCAGGAGAAAAAAAAAAAGGCAGACTGTTTGACTATTACAAGAACAAACAAACTGTTCACCTTGGAGCCAACAGGCCCTTCAGGACAAACCCTCTTCCAAGACTGAGACTCTAAGGGAACAAACTCAAGTGCTTAACCACTGTGCTACCAGAGCTCATACATATGAATGTATGTTCACTGGTGAGTGCCACAGTTGATCTGTAAGTGGAAATCAGGGAAAGTCAGCAATGAAGAACTGGGCTGAATTCAGCCACGTTCTATAGACTCCTGTCAATCTTGAAATGACAGAAAAGGAAGGGCTGGTTGGTCCCAAGTTTGGGGAGAGTTGAGAACTCCTGAGCCCATGGACACTGACCTAGCCACAAGGGGCTAGAGCTGAGAGTGAAGCATCCAGCTGATAAGAAGTGTGTGTGTGTGTGGGGGGGGGGGCACACAAGAATGCCCAAACTTGCAGATAAT